CCAGGCGTGGGGTCGTCGGCGCGCCGCGGCTTGGTCGCCCGGCGGCCCGGGGCGGAGCGGGCCCCCTCCCACGCCCTCCCCCCTCCCCTCCCCCCACCCCCTCCCGGCCCGTCACCGTCCCGGCTTCTTCCCGCGCGCTTCTTTCCTTCCCGCTTTCCCCGGAGAAACATGGCCGGGAGCCGTGAGGAGGCGCCAGACTACGGGCGAGGCGTCGTGGTAAATGCAACTCCGGTTTCGGGGCCGAGTCGCGCGCTCCCTGCCCCTCCCTTGTTGGCACCCCTCCCCCCACCCTTTTAGATTAAACGCCCGAAATGCATTCGGGAGAGAGCGGGCCACGGCTTTGTTCTTCCCTCCCGACGGGATCGCTTCCATCCTCCCCCTTCCCCAGTCTGACCCCGCGCTTAACATCCCTTCACCCCGTGTCCTCAGTGTCCCCCTCCGCCCCCACCCCCGCCAGGAATCCGCTACTCCCGCGTTAAGGCCGGGTGGCGCCGGCTCCCCACTCTCGCTGGCCACCGGGAGTCACCCCCGGGCGCCGGGCGGGCCTGCGAGGACCCAAGCGGGCCGCTCTTGTGGGCTTCCTTCCTCTCGCGCTCCCTCCTGACTCCTTCAGCGCGGGCTTCACGTGCTGTTTTCAGAAAGGGTACTGAGGGCGCTCCGGGGCAGCCAGGAAGTAAAGGAGCTCTAGTGGACGGAGCTTGAGCTTGCAAACCCGGGCGAGGGCTCTTCCTGTGGGGCCTCTGCGCGAGCTCGGGACACGCTAGCGCCGTCGAGCGAGCCTCTGGTTCGTCAGAAGGGAAACAGCACGCTGGCCCTGCTGAGCCAACTAGAGAGGGTGTGTACAGAGTAGCTAGTAGTGTGTCCGAATGAGAAGGTGGGGGAGGATGGGGTCCCAGGCCAGAGCCTCTTTATCCCTGGGGATCCCTCGATGTCAGCCGGCACCCGGTGGGTACCCATCGCTCGGTGTCCTGGAATCAAATCTGGTCTTGGCCTATGGCCGCTGGCTTCGGCTTGGTTTAGAATGGTCTCTATGAAAGGTGGTAGTTTTAACGCGTCAGGTTTAAAGTGACCTGCGGGTGCGGTGTGGGCTAACTTGCTACATTAAGAGTCTTTGTTCAGGGATCAGCCTGTAATGCACAGATAATCTGTGTGTGACCGGGAAGGGACTACAGGAGTAGGAACGTTCTGCTAGGAAACATCTCACAGCCTAACCGATCTGTTCAGGTTGAACCGTGTTGCCCAGTATTAATTTCAAAGCTGGGCCTTTCCTTCTTAAAGGAGGAGTTCATTTATTTATTCATTCCACTCATGTTGACTGTCCTGCTGTATCCCAGACCGTGTTCTAGGCTCTGGGGAAACAAAAAGCCCTGTGTTGGTGGAGCTTACTTCTAGAGGGGAACACAGGCAAGCAGTAAGAAAGGAAATACACAAAGAAGATACTTTCAGAGAGTGATATGTGCAGTGAAAAGACAAGAGCAATGAGAGAGTGGTTGGCGGAGGCCTTGGGATGCTGCTTTAGCTCAGGCAGAGCAGCCCCTCCGTGACATCTGAGCCAAGACCTGAAGGCTAAGCAGGAGGTAGCCACGTGGACTCTGAAGAAGGGTCTTCAAGACAGCACCTGCCAAGGGCAAAGAAATCATTACATTCTGAGAAGGAATCATGACAGCCAGTTTATGCTTTAAAAAAAAAAAAGGTCATTCCAGTTGCCATGGAGAGGATGGTCAGGCCTAGATTTGGGGTGAGTTGGAGGGGGATGAAAATTCTGGACAAGTTGAGTCTCTAGTGCCTGTAAAGCCTATGGGTCAGGATGCCCAGGAGGCAATTTGAAACTCCTGTTTGGAATTCAGAAGGGTGATTGGTTAGATTTGGAAATTGTCAGCAAATAGAAAAATATCTGATGCTTGGCAGTGGATAGGGATGCCCAGTGAACATGGAGAAGAAATGTGAAACTATTGTTAAGGGTAGAAAGCCCCAAATGTAACAGGCCGAGTGTCTGAGAGAAGCCAGATAAGGAGACCAAGAATGAGTAGCAAGGTAGGAGAGAGCAGACGGGGTGGTAGGTGCCTAGGGAACAGAGTTTTGTGGAGGTGAGGATAAGAGGTCAGCAGGAGGGACAGATGCCTCAGGAAGAGCAAGTGGCATCAAGGTGGAAAAGACGAAGCCATCAGAAGTGAGAATCTTTTAAACAACTATTCCATCAGTAGAACGGTTAAAATATAGTACTAGTATCTAATAATAGTCTTAAAAACGAATGAGGTCAGTTGATATGACTAATAGGAACGGTAGATTGTTAAAGTCTAAAAAGCAAATGATGGAACAGTAAGTAGCCCGATCTATCACTGCTAAAAGAAGCTTTCTCAAAAGCAAGGTAATTTGGTGAAAGATGCAGGAAGGTAGTGAGAGGGTCCACCAAGGTTGGAAATAATCAATGTATAATGGAGATCATCCCTGCATTTATGTCATTCTCTCCAGTAGAACTTGGGATAATTACATTAATATCAAGTTGGATATGGGCAGGCAAGGCAAATTCAGAATGAATTCAAGGTGCTGATGGAAGAGGGTCGAGAGGACAAGGAAAGCTTAGGAGGGTAGGTATACTGGGAAAGCAGAGAGCGCTCAAGGATGGGTTGGAAAAAATCAAAGGGAAATTTTAGTGCCAGTGGGTAAGGGGGCAGGTAGTAATGGCAAGCATTTATTGAACACTTACTATGTGGTTTTCCTGTATGATTCATTTAATCCTCACAAATCTTTGAGGTAGGGATATTATAATCCCCATTTTACAGACGAGGAAACTGAGGCAATGATAAGCAATCGCCATGGTCACATGATTAGCAAATGGCAGAAGCAGGAGTTGAAGCCAGCTTTCCAGCACTGCTACATGGGAAGCTGTGCTTCTGGGGAAGAATGTCAAAGGGGAGGCTGCTGTGACGGACGGGATGTGGCTGAGGTGGACTAGAGGCGAAGCCGTTTGAGCTAAGGTAGGTGAAGTTGCTACAAGATGGAGGAGCTAGAAGGATCATCAAGGTGTGTACTGGAGTGTCCAGAAATGAGGTAGAGAAGAGAAGTCTGAGTTGGTAGAAACTTGGTGATAAAGATGGCAAGGGACATAGAGCCAGATGACTTGAGCCTAAAACGAGAAATACAGTTCGTGCAAGAGAAGGGAAGGTGAAGAGACTGAAGATGGCTCTTGCCTGCAAATGGCTTTCAGTTTACTCGGGGAGGTAGGACATTAGTAGATTATTAACAGTAAATGGGAGCAAGTGCTAATTACCAAATCGGAGATGCAGACCCTGAGTTCGGAAACTTTGCTCAGGATAGACTGGCTACCAGTGTCCCCCCTACCACCCGCACACACACACCTCAGTTGGTATATCTTTGTTGCTTCTCAGGGAGAGAAAAGATTTCTCTACCTCTCTGGTCTTTGGGGATCAGGTTATTCGATATGGTTTACTTTTACAGAACCATTATCAAAGAAGCATAGTTAGTGCCCTACACATGTGAGTTTGGTAGGAGTAAGGAGAAGAGAAAATCTGAAATGATGGTGCTTCTGTTATGGCATCTCCCTCCCCCTCCCCCCATGGAAACGACTTTACTGGATGTGATGAGTTTCCCCTTCCGGGTACAGAACCCCCCACAGAAGAGGAAGGCATGCAGGTTACAGGATGTTATTTGGTCTGTGGAGCCCCCCTTCATTCCCCTGGTAGCAGAACCTGGGACCCTTCTTTGAGGACACAGCTTCGACTCAGTTTCTCAACGTGTGGCTCTGAGGCATCCCTCACAGTGCACCCCCTTCCCTGGCTCTGGGGCTGGACCAGTGACCCCAGCTGGGACAGTTGACGTTCTTGTCTGGGATTCCCAGAAGCAGAGCTGTGGGACGAGACTCCCTTCCTCTCTAACAGTGGACGGGTGGATGTGAACCTGAAATTGGCAGCTGCCGTGGTCACTGCCTGAAGGAGAGAGTAAGGCCCAGGCTTTGGGGCTTAGCAGCAGAGAGGAGCCGAGGTTAGCTTTTTTTTTTTTTTTTTTTTTTTAAAGATGTTGATGCAAATACTTTTTAAAAAATTAAAAAAATTTTTTTGGTTGCTTTGGGTCTTCGTTGCTGCACGTGGGCTTTCTCTAGTTGTGGCGAGCGGGGGCTACTCTTTGTTGGGGTGTGCGGGCTTCTCATTGCGGTGGCTTCCCTTGTTGCGGAGCACAGGATCTAGGTGTGCAAGCTTCAGTAGTTGTGGTGCATGGGCTCAGTGGTTGTGGCTGGCGAGCTCTAGAGTGCAAGCTCAGTAGTTGTGGCGCATGGGGTTAGTTGCCCCGCGGCACGTGGGATCTCCCCGGACCAGGGCTCAAACCCATGTTCCCTGCATTGGCAGGCGGATCCTTAACCGCTGCGCCACCAACGAAGTCCCCCAAGATTAGCTTTTTGTATGTGTTTCCAAACTATTTTTCTCCCTAGGGGATACAACTTGAAAAATAAGGCAAGACATATTCTAAGCAAAAAAATTTATTTCTGATGACTTCGAAAGAAGGTCTTCAGTATATCTTCCAATGGGGAAAAGAGAGTCCGAAGGAGTTCCGGGGTTTGGATGTGGTATAAAATGGCTCAGTGTGTTTGTCACTTCCCCAGCTTGGCCATATTTTGGGTCTTTTGAACAGAGAAGGCATTGTTCTGAATAAACTTAGAGCATATTATCTGTGATACTGCAACTATTTAAAGACTTCTTGTTTTGATTTTTCAAAAAGCAGATGAATAACATAATTATCTGCAGTTCCTAGCAGCCTCCATTCCTTCAGGTCTAGGACACATTTACAATGCAATTTATATGCACTATTAAGGATAAACCAGTGGTTCCCTCATTTCTAATTGTCTTTTATCTCTACAGTGAAAACTCACTATTTCAGACTCATTGGGAAATAGGCTGGTTTGGCTTATAGGATAGTTTTAGGGAAACACGTTTCTTCTACTTTGAAATTTACAGCTTTAACTAGGGTAATAAGACTTTGGCAGATAGGTTTAAAGCACTTCTTTAAATTAATTAACACATGTAATTTGTAAGTAAACTATTGATGTTTCAGTACATCTAACTGGTTAACATTTACTGAAGCGTTCTGTAGACCAGATACTGATGTAAGAGTTTTATATCCATTATCTATCTTATTTAATCCTTGAAATAGCCATATGAGGTAGGCATCGGCTCCATTTTATAGATGAAAACGCTGTGACCCAGAGAGGTTAAAATGCCCAAGGTCCAACAGCTAGTAAATTCACCCCTGGGTGTGTTAGACTTCTAATCCATGCTCTTAATCATTACTCCATGCTGCCTCTGAGCTACAGATAACCAGTACAGTTTTTATATGTAGGTTTGTTTTGTCATTTTATCATTCTTTTCTTTTTGGGGGCGTCATTTATTAAGCATTTATTATATACCTGGAGATGTGCTAGGAACTCTAAGTACGTTATCTGCTCTATCTTTTTATCCTCAAGACAACCCTGTCCGTGGGTTTTATTGTGTCTTATTTAAAGGAGGGGGAAATGAGTCTCAGGTGTAATTTTCCTAACATCATAGTAAGTGTCAGAGCTGAGCCCTAGAACATGGACTAGAGAGTGGTTTCTGAGATTCAGCCAGGCAGGAGGTACTACAGGATTTCCGTGGTGGGAAGAGTGGCTACTAGTTCATGCCGCTACCTCTGGGAGGGCTGCAAGAGGTAGGGTGGGTAGTGTGTGTTGTCTGGCAGGGGAGCCAGAAAGTGCTGTGCCCTTGGGTGATCTCCCTGGGGCCTGGCATTGGTCAGGTTTCTCGTTTGGTCTTTGTTGTGGTCTGCCAGTGCATCTTCTGGAATCTCCTCATGTTCGGCTGGCGGTTCAGGCTCTGACCAGCCGTTGTGGTGTTGATGGTGGCAGCAGACACCAGGAGTTCTCAGGGTAGAAGCCAGAGTTACTCTGTGCAGATTCAACAGTTGCCATCAGCTGATTTGCTGGTCAAGGCAGAGCAGATGTGATGCTCTTCAAATACGCAGATGGGGGCTTCCCTGGTGGCGCAGTGGTTGAGAGTCCGCCTGCCGATGCAGGGGACACGGGTTCGTGCCCCGGTCTGGGAAGATCCCACATGCCGCGGAGCGGCTGGGCCCGTGAGCCATGGCCGCTGAGCCTGCTGCGCGTCCGGAGCCTGTGCTCCGCAATGGGAGAGGCCACAGCAGTGAGAGGCCCGTGTACCGCAAAAAAAACAACAACAACAACAACTTTATTCCTAAAAAATGCTGAGAGCATCATCTGACAGCACAAGGTTGCCATAAACATTCAATTTGTAAAAAGCATACTATCTGCAAAGCGCAATAAAAGGTGTGCCTGTAATTACAAACATAATTTTACTTATAAATTGTATAAGTAAATTGTATATTTACATATGTGCACTCTTACAAACAATGCTATCAGGTTAGCTGTAAGGCATTAAGTTGGTATTTTATCTTGTGATGTCAAAAGTCGGGAATGGAGTTCCCTGTTCACTTCAGTAGCTCCTTCGTCAGGTTATGTGAAACAAATTACCTTGTCCCACCTGGCTTCTCATAGGTTGATGGAATATAATTTTTTTAAAAATTTAATTGGCTGCACCAGGTCTTAGTTGCAGCTTGCGGGAACTAGTTCCCTGACCAGGGATCGAAACCAGGTCCCCTGCGTTGGGAGCACGGAGTCTTAACTGCTGGACCACCAGGGAAGTCCTATGGAATATAATTTAATGCCATATGGATTATCAGACCTAGTCTGTTTTCAATTTTATTCTTTTTTTCAAAGGATGCTCTTGTTTATTTATGTTTCTTAAAATAAATTTCCAATGAAAAATATTGTAACCAAGATAATTTGATTTACAGATTATGGACGACTGGCCAGGCTACGACTTGAATTTGTTCACGTACCCACAGCACTATTACGGAGACTTGGACTATGTCCTCATCCCTCATGGCATCGTTGTGGACAGGTGAGTGCTCTTTGCTGTGTAAGTTTTGTCTAACCCTCTCTTGTGTGAATCAAACGGTACACACTTGGGGACCCTATTCCGGAGTCTCTTCTATATAATGGTACACAGAACTTTTATACTACAGAGAATTTGGAATAAAATAAATCTGTGCTTTACGTGAACTGGTTCCTGGGATATTTGTTCAGGGGAAATGGTGAGAAGGCTATACATACAGAAGGTGTTACATCACAAGTAACAGCCTCAAAATAACAATGTCCTGTACAAACTGATGAAAATGAGGGTTGGGAAAGCGTTTGTCTCACGTTTTTCACAGACTCTTAACCAGGGACAGTTAAGAGGTGACCTTTGCTTTCACAGGCCACACCCCTGAAGGCTTTTCCTGCGACTTGTATTTATCTCAAATAAGTCTTTTCTCACAGGTCGGCCAGTCTGTGCACAATTACGTTTTCAGTGGTGATGTTTTAGAAATAAGAATATTTGCAACTTAAAAATAGCAGCACAGAACTGTTTCTCAAGTAGTGTTTCTAGCTCTTTTGGACCCATCGACATAGATATCCTCTGGCTCCTTCCTAGCCGATTGGCTTTTCGAAAGCCAACATTTTCTCTCCTGTTCTAAGCCCCTAAGTCACCCTCACTACTTTTTTGGCTTTCAGAGAGCACCCTCCAGTTCAGCCCACCACAGGCTTCAGGATTGATAGGTCCTATCCCTTTAACAAAGCTTCCTTAATGCCCCGACTCTTGCCTTTCCATGGACCTCTAATTTCTTGTACAAAGATCAAGTACTTAAGCCTTCACATTTATATGAAAAGCAAGCTTCATGGATTTCAGACTCAGAAATTGGGGCCGGGAGAGACTCTAAGAAGCAGGAGAAACTGAGACTACAGGCTCCCCGCTCTACCCTTTGCCTTAAGCCGTTGTATTTCTGCCTCTATTTTTTTAAGCTGTTATATTCTTCTGAGTTAAAATTTAACTTGTAAAATAGATCCTCAGCCAAAGGAAAGTTTGAAAAGCACTGGATGGTCACTATTCCCAGGATATTATCTTTCCATCAGTGCCTGTCTGTAAGCAAAAGGAAATGTCATTCTCTCACTAACATTCTAAGATTTTCCATTGGATAAGATCTGCACATTGTGTATTCTCTCAAACTATAGTATATTATTAAAATAAGGTCTAGTTTGTGGTTTCTCACAGCCTCAGGTGGCCTTCCACGGTATACAAGTTTTGATCCTTGAAGGGAAAAAACGTTCTGTGATGAAATAAATGTAAGAAATTTGGCATCTCCCAACTTGCTAGACCTCCATGTTGGCAATTCATATTAAAGATACAGATTCCTGCAAAGAAAAGGGAGGGGTAGGGAAGAAATCTGCTTGACTTTAGCAGTTAAAGCACCTTTTCTGTGTAGTGGGTGTCTTTGTACTCAATTCACTTCTTAATAACTCTCAGAAGCGTTTTCTCTTCACACGAGTTTGGGAACCCCTGGTTTAAACAAATTCCTGCTTTTCTCATCTGAAAATTAATTTATGACTTAAGTTAATTGCATCCTGATTTAGTACACAGTTGAATCCTGGTAAGGTTACCAGTTCCCTCTACAGGAGACTTACCCAGTGAACTTGTAAAAATGCATAACCTTAAGCTTTTTGTCTAGAAATTCTGATTCAGTGGTCTGGAGTGGTGTCTCAAGAATGCCCTTTCCCACCTTTAAAATGAATTTATTAAGATATAATTTACATACTACAAAACTCACCAATTGTAGGTAAATGACTCAATGATTTTTGGTACATTTTTATGGTTAGGCAACCATCACCACCATTGTTTTACAATATTTCTCTCATCACTAAAAGTTTGTTTTCAGTCTCTGCTCCTACCCCCACCATCAGGCAATCACTAATCTGATTTCTTTCTCTATAAATTTGTCTTTTCTGAGCACTTCATATAAATCAAATTGTACAATATCTGATTATTGATTCATCAGTTGATGGACGTTTAGATTTCTAGTTTTTGGCTATTGTGAGTAATGCTTCCATGAACATTCACGTATAAGTCTTTGTGTAGACATATCTTTTCATTTCTCTTGGAGAGGAATTCTGAGTTTCATGGTAAGTTTAAGAAACTGCCAATTATTTTCCAAAGTGGCTAAACCATTTTACATTCCCACCAGCAGTGTTTGAGGGTTCCAGTTTCTCCACATACTTGCCAACATCTAGTATTGTTTGTCCTTTTAATTATAGCCATTCTAGCGGATATATAAATGTATTTCATTGTGGGTTAAATTTACATTTTCCTAATGATTAGTGTGCTTGTTAGCTATTCATACATCTTCTTTGGACAGATGCCTATTTAAGTCTTTTGCTAATTTTGCAGTTGGGTTATTTCTCTTCTTATTGAGTTGTAAGAGTTCTTTATATATTCTGGACACAAGTCCTTTATCAGACATATGATTTGCAAATATTTCCCACTAGTATGTGGCTTGTCTTTTCATTTTGTTATTGATATCTTTTAAGGAGAATGTTGGGTGAAGTATTCTACAGATGTCAGCCAGGTCCAGTTGGTATATGGTACTCTTCCTTTCAACTATATCCTTACTGGTTTTCTGCCTTGTTGGATCTGTCAAGTACTGAGAGAGGGGTGTTGAAGTCTCTAACTGCAATAGTGGATTCATCTACTTATTACAGTTCAATAAGTTTTTTGATACTCTGCTGTTGGGTGCATATGCATGAAGGACTGTTAGGTCTTCCTGGAGAATTGACCTCTTTTTAATACACTAATGTCAGTCTTTATTCCTGACGATTTCTTTGCTCTGAGGTCTGCTTTGTCTGTAATTGATACAGCTACTCCAGCTTTCTTTTGATTATGTTAGCATGGTACATCTTTCTCAACCCCTTTAATCTATCTGTGTCTTTATATTTAAAATGGATTTCTTGTGGACAACATATATTAGGGTGTTTTTTTGATCCACTCTGACAGTCTCTGCCTTTAATTGGTGTATTCTGACAATTCACGTTTAAAGTGATGATGATTGATATACTTGGTTTAATCTCTACCATATTTATGACTATTTCCTATTCGTTGCCCTTCTTATTTTTTAATAAATTTATTTATATATTTATTTTTGGCTGCGTTGGGTCTTCATTGCTGCGCACAGGCTTCCTCTAGTTGTGGCGAGCAGGGGCTACTCTTTGTTGTGGTGCGCGGGCTTCTCATTGCGGTGGCTTCTCTTGTTGCGGAGCACGGGCTCTAGGCATGTGGGCTTCAGTAGTTGTGGCACGTGGGCTCAGTAGTTGTGGCTCACAGGCTCAGTAGTTGTGGAGCACAGGCTTAGTTGCTCCACGGCATGTGGGATCTTCCCGGACCAGGGCTCGAACCCGTGTACCCTGCACTGGCAGGCGGATTCTTAACCGCTGCGCCACCAGGGAAGCCCCTGCCCTTGTTCTTTGTTTCTTTTTTTGTCTGCCAGTCTGTGAAAACTGTCTCCCCCACAATGTGTAGCCTCTGATGATGTGCAGTTTATTTTTCTTGTTTTTCCTTTTAAGCTTTGCTCACTGGAGTTCATGCTTGTGTCTGAATAGCTTAATCTTCAGCCTAAGATTGGCTAGAGATTGTACTCAAACACCTTGAGCCAGGGAGGCCTCCACTCTTTGCTGATGAATGTGTGTGGGAGCCTGGCAAGCACATTCAAATTTCCAGCCTTTTTCAAGCCTTGCCTGGCTTTTAGTTTCCACCGAGCTTTCCTGTGTCTCTGCCGCGTGGGTTTATGGGCTCCACCATTCAGGGATGTGTGGTGGCCTGGGCCCACACTAGTCTCTGCAGTGCATATGCAGATTCTGGTCAACTTGGGATATGTGGAGAGTTTATTATGTGCCCCTCTCCCATGACTGTAGCCTCCCGGAACTCTCTATTAAATCTGTGACTAGTCTGCCAGGTAGTTGCTCAAACAGGACTGCAACTTCAGGATAACGGGGCCCCTGGCCCTCCCTGTTCGCATGCTACCAAGATGGCCATGTTAACTGACGGTGTTCCCCATCGGGTGAGCAGTGCCTCACCCTGCTTGACTACCTGGTTGAACAGTAGAGCAGATTGGGGGCCAGGGAGAGGGGACCATTCTCAGACAAGAATACCACAGATCTGTGCTGTTTCTACCCAGTGTTCAGTGTTTTCATGAATAAATGATTCTCAGTGTGGTGCATGCCTTTGGTTGATTTCCAGAGCGCTGAAATGGTTGCTTTTGACAGTTTTGTCCGACTTTCTACTTTCTCTTTGTGAAGAGGATGTGTTGACCTCCTCACTGCATCATGCTGGAAACAAGTGTCCCTTTTTATAGAATATCTGGCATGCTGGGGCCTTTCCTGGCGGTCCAGTGGTTAAGACTTCGCCTTCCAATGCAGGGGGTTCAGGTTCGATCCCTGGTTGGGGAGCTAAGGTTCCACATGCCTCATGGCCAAAAAATACCAAAACATAAAACAGAAGCAGTATTGTAACAAATTCAATAAAGACTTTAAAAATGGTCCACATCAAAAAAATTCTTTAAAAAGAATATTTGGGGCTTCCCTGGTGGTTGAGAGTCCACCTGCCGATGCAGGGGACACGGGTTTGTGCCCCGGTCCGGGAAGACCCCACATGCCGCAGAGCGGCTGGGCCCGTGAGCCATGGCCGCTGAGCCTGCGCGTCCGGAGCCTGTGCTCCGCAACGGGAGAGGCCACAGCAGTGAGAGGCCCGCGTACCGCAAAAATAAAAATAATAATAATAAAAAAGGAATATTTGGCATGCTGATGTACGTTTCGTTGATCATATTTTGAGACACATTACCTGAACCCATGGTTGTCATTTTATATGTATATGTGTGCACATATATGCACACAAATAAAAAAACCTATAAAAATATATAAAATATATATATTACATATTTAGAACATATATGATATAATATTTTATTTTTTCACATCATTCACTGCATCTGTTTTAAATCTAATTCAGTTTGAGGTGCCAGTGGGGATATTTTAAAAAGTGTGCACCTTAGATCCTACCTCCATTCAAGGTTTTAGTGTTGTATGGGTGTATGGGCAATGGACTTATGCATATGAAACAATGAGAAAAAATACAATGACAGTTCCACATTAGGTGTTGGGTGCCAGCCCAAGGCTGCATCATGGTAGAACTTCAGGAGACACCATTCAAACTGTAATCTGTGGAGATGGTGTCCACTGAGATTGTCCGGAGCACCTCTCATAGAGGTAACGTGTTATCTTCATCAAATATAAGTCAAATATTATTCTTTCAGTAGTTATTATGGTCTTGACTTTTCCTCCAGCCTCGTCTAACGCGGTCTGGTGGGTGAGTCATTCTCCATTTCCTTCTTCTCTGCTTTAAAGGGAACGTAATATCACCACATACCATCATAGCCTCGTTAAGGCTAACAGCCAGGCTCTGTAGTGATCAAATAATAGCCTTCGTGATCTTTGACATCATATTTTACACCTTAATCATTTTTTGTGATGCAGAGGAGCAAAAATGTATGATTGATGATGTGGTTATTAGAAATATGTTTTGAACACTTTCTCTTTATCCAACTTTAACAAAGCTTCTTTACCTGTAACATTCTGTCTCCCAAGCCCTTCTCCGCATTCTCCTGCATAATCTAATATGTAGAGTACATCATGCATTTTTGGGGAAAGGAACAAAAATGCTCAGAAGTAGTCATGCTTTAATATATCTTTTAATCCCTTCTTTCAGAATCGAACGGCTGGCTAAGGATATTATGAAAGACATAGGATACTGTGACATTATGGTCCTCTGTGTACTTAAAGGAGGCTACAAGTTCTGTGCAGATCTGGTAGAACACCTTAAGAACATCAGTCGAAATTCCGATAGATTTGTGTCTATGAAGGTTGATTTCATCAGGCTAAAAAGTTACAGGGTAAGTTATGATTTACTCCATTTTCATTATATGATGTTCAGAATGAACAGTGCTATAAATCAAAGAACTAATAATATTATGAAGATGAAGGATGTATTTTATTTTAATTTGCAAGATACTACAACCTGTAGTTCAGATAATATTCTTTGGGCAGGGGGAACCCTCCTATTATATTTCC